CCCTAGATACACCCCTCAGACCCTAGATATAACCCCACAGAGCCCTATATACACCCTACAGAGTCCTATATACATCCCACATACCCTATATACACCCCACAGAGCCCTATATACACCCCTCCGACCCTAGATACACCCCACAGACCCTAGATACACCCCCACAGAGCCCTATATACACCCCCACAGAGCCCTATATACACCCCCACAGAGCCTAGATACACCCCTCGAGCCCTATATACACCCCACAGAGCCCTATATACACGCCTCAGACCCTAGATACACCCCTCAGACCCTAGATATAACCCCACAGAGCCCTATATACATCCCACATACCCTATATACACCCCTCCGATCCTAGATACACCCCACAGACCCTAGATACACCCCCACAGAGCCCTATATACACCCCTCCGACCCTAGATACACCCCACAGACCCTAGATACACCCCCACAGAGCCCTATATACACCCCTCCGACCCTAGATACACCCCACAGACCCTAGATACACCCCCACAGAGCCCTATATACACCCCTCCGACCCTAGATACACCCCACAGACCCTAGATACACCCCCACAGAGCCCTATATACACCCCTCCGACCCTAGATACACCCCACAGACCCTAGATACACCCCCACAGAGCCCTATATACACCCCTCCGACCCTAGATACACCCCACAGACCCTAGATACACCCCCACAGAGCCCTATATACACCCCTCCGACCCTAGATACACCCCACAGACCCTAGATACACCCCCACAGAGCCCTATATACACCCCCACAGAGCCTAGATACACCCCTCGAGCCCTATATACACCCCACAGAGCCCTATATACACGCCTCAGACCCTAGATACACCCCTCAGACCCTAGATATAACCCCACAGAGCCCTATATACATCCCACATACCCTATATACACCCCACAGAGTCCTATATACATCCCACATACCCTATATACACCCCTCCGATCCTAGATACACCCCACAGACCCTAGATACACCCCCACAGAGCCCTATATACACCCCTCCGACCCTAGATACACCCCCCGAGCCCTATATACACCCCACAGAGCCCTATATACACGCCTCAGACCCTAGATACACCCCTCCGACCCTAGATACACCCCACAGAGCCCTATATACACCCCACAGAGCCCTAGATACACCCCTCCGACCCTAGATACACCCCTCCGACCCTAGATAAACCCCACAGAGCCCTAAATACACCCCACAGAGCCCTATATACACCCCACAGAACCCTATATACACACCACATACCCTATATACACCCCACAGAGCCCTACATACACCCCACAGAGCCCTATATACACCCCAGAGCCCTATATACACCCCACAGAGCCCTATATACACCCCACAGAGCCCTATATATACCCCACAGAGCCCTATATACACCCCACAGAGCCCTATATACACCCCACAGAGCCCTATATATACCCCACAGAGCCCTACACCCCGCTTAGGGTTAGGACTCACCTGGACACTGAACATGGCGATATGGTGGAACTCTCCTCGGCCGCCCTGCTTTACCGGCACCGTCATGAAGAATTTGGTTCCGTCCTTAGAAAAGACCGGCTCCTCGTTCTGCCGGAAGGTGAGGGGTTAATATCGGGGGTCATTGTACACGCACAGACATGTGGAGACGGATTCGGGTCGTTACCTGTTTGGACAGCCAGACGTCCGACACGACTTCATATTTCTGTAACATACATGTGCAAAAATCACCATTCATTGTATCACACGGCTGTCATTGGTGGATGGGGGTCATGTGACTGCGGCCTGGCGATGAATGCGATACAACGTCCCGTTATCTGGAGGCGCGGGGGGACCGCATACACACATGTCATCACAGGACCGCATACACAC